ATCAATTCCGAATTAAACGAGGGTGACGAGTCCCCAATTAGACCTTCCGGGAACAAAAGCACCCTTGGCGTAAGAGGGTCCTTCCTTTCCCCGTCCAGTTGCCTCGGCCGACTTTTTGGCGAGAAGGAAGAGAGCTCGGGAGCCTGGTGAGAAGGGAAGCCTCGGCCCCCCGATCAGAACCTGCCCCTTTTTTGCCCCCCCGGTCGACTCGGTCGTGGGATTATTGAGTGCTGACCCGTGTCTCGCCTGCTCGCCTCCCTTCCCTCACTTGCTTAAAATGAGCATTATTTCTAACATATGCAGTGCAATCCCTTCGGTCACACTTACAAGAACACGCTTTAATAAGGCAATCAATCACCCGCTAACAACCCGCCGCTGGCCTGTTGAAGACGAGCCGGGCTGGCTGGCAAGTGGCACTGAGGCGGGGCCGGGAGACGAGTAGCTTGAGAAGGGAGAAGGAGGGAAGGCAGGCGCCTCACTTTCCTCCCGGTGCTGTTCTGGGCAGAGCCCCCAAACTCCGCTCAGGAATGCTGCAGCTGGACAACCACCAGCTCCCCCCCCCCCCCCCCCAAGGAAAAGTCCTCTCAGGTTGCCTGGGGTTAGGACGAAGTTTGAAGGCTAAAAGAGACCAAGACTTATACAAGACTTATACACAAAGGCGCTCATCCATCCACCCCATTCTCAGGCTTTCAAGTGCCTCTCGAGTTTCCTTCACCAAGCCCTCCGCTTTCAAATTAACTTCCCAGCCCGGTTCCCTTCAGTCATGTGAAATACAGGTCCCATCACTGCCGGCCTTTCCCTCCCCTCCCCTCCCCTCCCCGCAAGAATAATTTTTCCTACGCCTCGTTTTCTTCACGTTTTCTTCCTGGAAGCTCTTGCCAAATGGCAGCTTGGATTGGGTCCCCACCCCCACCCCCCAAAAACAACGAAAGAGGAAGAAGGAGCAAAAGGAAAATTTCATTATGAAGTAATGAGTAATTCCTGGGAGAAAGATGTATTGTTATATCTTCCACTTCAATTTGGAGGCAGGGTGGCTCAATTACTTAGAAAATACAGTCAATTAAAGGCTGCTGATTGGACACAGGGAGGATCATCGATCTTGTAGTTTCCAATATAGCTTCAGACACCTCATTTTCTCTCCCTATTAACTGAAAATACGCCTGGCATCGCAGCCCCCTCGCAGCCTGTTTACCTGAGTTCCGCAATCTCTGCCCTCTGACCAGGGTGCTTCATCCCTGGCAGGGTGGGAGGGATCGAAAGGAGTCCCTTGAAAACGTCCATGGCTTGAAGGGACCAGGGACATGGAGGGAGATGATAGTGTGTGTACATACATACATTTTGTGTTTTGTAAATTATCCAACAATATCCACCCAGTTTTCTTGGCAATATTTATGGGGGTCGATTTGCCCTTGCCTTTTTCCTAGGGCACTGAAAGTATGGCTGGCCCAAACACATCCAGATGGTTGGGTGCCTTAACGATAATAAACGATAATACAGGTATACTACGGAGTGTATTATCTGTAATATTATACACCACAATAATTTAGACCCCTTGGTCTCCATTACACCAATCTCTCTTCCCTCCCCCCTAATTCGAGCGCAAGGTTTTGGCACAGCAATCCTGTAAATATCTGACTCATCAAAGTGTTAAGAAGTCACCTGGATTTGCCTGATGCGGAACTGACACCTTAGGACGAAACCGCCCTTTTGGAGGATGTGAGGGCGTCGTCTCTATTAACACCCCCCCCCCCCGCTGGTCGCCAAATCGGTCCGTGGAGGAAGTTGATTCCCAGGGGGTCCGGTCGAGTATTGGTACGTGGGTGGGGAGTGGAAAGGATTTTGCTACACTAGCCTTTCACTATAGAACAGGATTTCTCAAAGTTAGCAGTTTTTGGACGTTTCTATCCAGCCATGCAGACATACAATGTTGACCAGGGAATTCTGGGAATTGAAAGTCATGCATCTTGAAAACCGTACAGCAGTGCATCAAACGACACCTACCAATAGTCCCAAGGAAGCTGGTTTAATCTATGAGAGCTGCCACCCACACATTTGGAGTCTGTGCTACTAGCTTATAGGATTGTAGGGGGGAAATGGGATAACCAAAATACTTTCCACGGAAAAAAAATCACTGTTCCGAAAAATTGCAGCCTTCATTATCACTTTTAGTTGGAAAAATAACATATATAATGTGTGAACATTTGTGGGCCTGTCTCTTTTCGAAGGCAGACTTCCTCCCTTTCCTGATTTGTGGACTTTCCTTGGAAGCTGACTTCAGATGGCGGGATGGTGTAAGAATTTTGATCTGAGCAAAAGACTGAAGTACACAGTTGAAACTTCTTCGCTGAAGTTAGTTTAATCAATATTTCTGAGGGTTTCAAGTCTTTATCTATTATCTAAACGGAGGTGGGGGGCTTGAGAAATCGATGAGCAAGTATTTAGGCAATAGAAGGGCAACCTTTTCCCGTTGTACAATTATGATTAACGTATCGAGATTTCCAATCTCTCTAGAGTTCTAGAGATGGGAGCCTAACATTTTCATTACTGATCTAGAACTTAATTTGCACCCCAGAATTAACCATTTTTACTAAAAACTAAGTCTTACTTATTTTTTGTAGGATTTATTCCTCTTCATCAGCCTAGGCGTCTAGGGAATTTTCAGTACGTTTGAGGTTAATCTTACAGTTTGCATTTGTTTAGGATATCGTGTATTAAACAATTTTAATAATACAGATTACATAAAATAATTGTTCCTGGTTTTGTTCATTTTCATTTTCACTCTTTTGCATTTGATATCGCTTTACATGTGCTTGGAGAGAATAATTTGCCAGGTATTTAGGTTTTGCAATGTGCCAGGAACCTTTCTTCAAATAAAAAGCAATGCTCTGAAATTTTAGTTCCTTCTTCCTTGTCTTTAGAAAATAATGCCATTTTGAGGTAAAATGAAGGTCTTCCCAGACAAGGAAATTCTCCTAGTCAAATGAATAGATTCTCCCCATTGTTACATCTCCTTAATCAGTATTCTAATCTGGAATTTATCACAAGAATTAGTGAGAATCTTTAGAAGAACAATGATATTTCCGCCTACAATAGGTTATTGGAAAGCCTAACAATCCTAAAGATTCCCAATAAAACGGCAATAACTTTGCTTTGACCCATTAACATTGTTAAAGGATCAGGTTTTTTAATCCAGTGGTTTTCGTAAAGCCTATTTACAATGTAGACTTTTTATTCTAGCTGATATCAGGTTTATTTCACCGATGAATTGGGGGTGTAAATTATGAAATTATGAATTGGGGCTGTAAATTATTAAGTCCCTATGACTTCCTTGGAGATTTGTCATAAATTAGCAGTATATATCCAAATATCTATCTTCCTTCCTTCCAGTCACAAATCTCTCAAACATTTCCCCTCTATTTCAATTATGTTTGAAATTGAAATGAAAGAATTTATTGGGCATACCACATTTTTTGTTTTTAAATCTTCTGTTCTACCCCAACACCATAATAATAGTAGTTTCCTGCTTTTGTCCCCGTGTAAACATACCTTTTAAAATAATGCAATGGTTTAAAATGAATGAATTAACTCAAGTATATTATATCATTCTTTATGGTCCCAATTAAGCAGAAAGGAGAAAAAGCCAGCCAAATTATGTCTTAGGGTTGGGTAAAATTGTTATTTGGTATTAAATGTCGAGGACTGTCCTTCCACCAATGAAAAAGCAGGTAGCCTAAATAGCTGGGTGTAATTTCATTGAGATAAAAATGTATAACATACCCAGGATTCAGAAAAAAAGATAGGAATGGAGAGTTATATTCCACATATGGAAAAAGGAAATTGCAATAACAAATACAGTGGATAATACAGAACTCACTTCTAAACCCGAATATTGTTGGGGAACTGAAATTAGACCAGAAAGGAGAAGGAAGCAGATTCGGCTTTCATTTGCAGACCAGTGATTGAGTGATTGCGGGGAGAAAAAAATCCGGCTTCCTGTCGTTTAATCTCTTCCCTTGGCGGCTTGTTAGTATTTGGCAGCCAGGCTGGTTCTGTCTTGAGAATATTAGCCTTGCAGCTGATTCCCTTTTCAAAAAGGTGTGTGTGTGTGCGAACCTTCCCCACTACATATACATCACTTGTTAATTTGGTCCGTGTGGTCACAATTCAGCGACTGACAGTAGAACGCTGTTATTTTAAAGGACAAATAGCTTTAATCCCTCAGGGTTCTCTGTGTCGACTCCGCTTTCTCAGTTCTCTCTTCCCTCCCTCCCTCCCTCCCTCCCTCCTTCCTCAGGTGGTGCACAGAAGATGTATGCGTGGGGGTATATATGCATATGTGGAGCTAGTATTTCCAAGAGTTAACTTTTTTTAAAATGTCTAATTCAGAGTTGTTACTTTTTAAAGGATGTCGGACTAAGAAAGGAAGAAAAGCCATAATAACAGATTGACACTATCGCAAATCCACAAAGGTCCTTCTTTTGCTTTCTTTCTTTCTTTTTAATTTGGCAAAGAATAAATCTTTACTTTCATCAGACATACACTTTAAAAAAAAAAAAGGATCCACAATTTCTTCTTTCAAGTATTTTCCTTTTAGTCACGTATAAGGTTATGCATAAAATATTGACTCCGTGGTTTGGTGAGCATCTGCCCTGATAGGCCGGAGATAAACTCCCTCAAGACTAAGTAGGAGCTCTTGGCTTTGCTGTGGCAGAAATCATTCTCCCTCCCCCCACCCCACCCCTCTTTCCCCATCACTGGGGAATATTCCGCCAAACCCCGCACCTCGCGCTGGCCAAGGTTCTTCCGCGGATTTGTGCCCATTAGAAATCCTCCCTATCTTCCAGGTTTATTTTCGGTTTTTGTTTCCATTCCTTGATGTCCACGAATTGAGGGGATTAAACTTTAAGAGAGGAGCGATCACCGCCCGGGTGGTCTCTGGAAAGGAGGGTGGCCGGGACGGGGAGGGCGGGAGGAAAACAGCGCAACCTGAGATGGGTCCTTTATCTGGTCAAAGGGACTTCTTCGCGCTGGTCTAGTGGGACCGGGGAGGCCTTGCTCAGCACCGAAGGTGTAAACGTGAGAAAGGAGTCCGTCCGAGTGGTGGCCGAGCAGCTAAAGTCCGATCCCGAAGGCCGCTGGATTAGCCCGCTCGCCTGACTGCCGTGACAAGCCAAGCAGGAGCACGGGCTCCCTCCGGCACCGCTCAGCCCGTGAGTCGGACCAGCATAGAGAGAGGGGTGTCGGAAGGCGCATAGCAGTTCTGGTCGCGGGTACGGGTGGGACAGGACGCGAAAGGTGTCCAGCGGCCTCAGGGGGGAATTGAAGGGGGCGGCTGCGGCCGAAGCGGCTCCGAGGCCCATGTGGGAATAATAAGGCAGGGGCAGGTGGGAGGGGAAGGGGTAGGGCAAGTTGCCGGTGGCCGCCGCGTGGCTCATCATGTAGGTATAGAAAGCTGGATCCGCTGGGTGGGGCCATGTCATAGCCAGGCGCTGCCTCTTGTCTTTCATCCTCCGGTTCTGGAACCACACCTGGGGGAAGGGGACGGAAAGGCAAAGCAAAAGAAGCGCTGAGTCGCCAGCAAGGCTGGGATCCCGCCACAACCCTCCGTTCCATGCCCGACCTCGGCATCCTTCCCAGAGGCTGTAGAAGGGCCCGTCTGGGGGACGTCAGGCGGCAGTTCTGGCTACCGAGGATATTTAAGATTTCGATGGCATGGGGCTGTGTGCCCAGCATTTTCTCCCACATCATCATTTAAAAAATCAAATTGGAAGGCTGCATTATATCTATTGGTGTTGGCAATAATGTAATTGCCGGATCTGCACAATTGTCAAGGAGTGGAATTGTTTGTGGCCCGCACATTTGAATAGAAATAAAATTATTGTGAATGGAATAAATGAGTGAAAAACATGGGAGAAGTGCAGATCATCAGACTAATATGAGGTATAAAAAAATAAGCTTCCCCTGGAACATCCATATATTATATATTCTTATTATACTCTTCCACTCCCTGCATAAGTCTGGTGTAGCAGGAATCAATGCTATTTTCATAACAAATGTAATAACAATAAGTAGTAGTAATGCTTAATAGCAAGATTGCTTCCTATTTTCTTTCCTCTTCATTCTTTTCTGCCAATTTTTAGTCTTTGCCAAGATATTTTCAGGATCTTTCAGATAATTCTCATCTCTAAGATGTGCAGTGAAACTAACAGTCTGAATGACAGCCTGCCTAAATGTACAGAAAATTTCTTAATACGAACACACTGAAAATGAATCTTTAATATGCACGTAGAGAGACTCAAATTAGGCAATTCTGTTTCAGGAGAGAGAGGCAAAAAATAAGTAAATCCTGCCTATAAGATTACCTAGTAATCTCCCTAGTTATAAGTGTTTATTCCCCAATAAATCTGCTCAACTGCTACTTTGTATAATGATACAGATGCTATTTTTTAACCCACTTAAATTAGACCTTAGAATGTTTCCATTCTAATGGTTGAAGCCTGACATTTTAGTTTAAATGCTTGACTTCTGAATAAGTATTATTGATTTCAGCAAGCCAGATAAGTTGATGTTGGGTGGTGGGGGGTGATGGGGAAGGGCAAGTTAAGGTGGACTCAAAATAAACAAGCAAGTTTTTTTTGGGGGGGGGGCGGATTGATGACCTTCCTGATCATCATTTAAAGCCCTTTGCACTACATGGAAATGATTTTTGAAAGTGGCTGACATCAAGTCCCTAAAAGACTATCCCTAACTAAGGTTAAAGCTGTAGACCTAGTCACACCCACCTGGAAAGAAGTTTCACTGAAGGAAGAAAGGAGACTTACTCCCCAGCAGATGGCTAGTTCCTCTTCTCCCAAGAAGAAACCGCTGCAGAGCTAGTCTAGCGTATCCCAAGGTGAAATCAACCATTTACAATTGAGGATCAAGATCCACCATCGCCAGAAAAGAGTGCTGCTTTTGAAACTGTTTGACAGTGGGAACTAGTGGGGTGGGGGGAGTGGAGAGGACTTGGGGAGGGTCAAAGTCCCAGCCCAGACACGTGGAAACGCTCCGAAATCTTTCCTGAGTTTGGGCCAAATATACATGCAAACCTACCTTGATGGTGGTTTCGGGCAAGTTTAAGGCGGCGGCCAGCTCGCATCTCCTGGGTCTGGATACGTAATTCTCCCGGTAAAACTCTTTCTCCAGCCTGGCTATCTGCTCCCGCGTGAAGGCGGTGCGATAACGGCGCATTTGATCGCTGGCGCTGCAAGCCAGCGACCCCTGAGAACCTCCACCTCCACCTCCACTACCTCCACCTCCACCTCCACCTCCACTGCCAGCGCCACCGCTGCCCTTGGAGAGATCGCCTTCGCTGCTAGGGCTCTCAGCTGAAGTATCCGAGCACTGCCCTGCAGGGGAAAGTAGAGAGGAAGCCATCCAGAGGGAGAAAGACAGCTGGAGCTCTGACTATGTCTCCCCCCCCCAACCCATTTCTATTTCTTCCCCCTCCCACTCCAAATCGGGCAATAGTGTCATCAGGACAGCCCTTTGGAGCAGAGGCTCAGGACAGGGGTTCCTCTCCAGTACTATTGAAGGGACCCTGGGGAGTTGGCAGGGCTCCTTCACCCACGTTTGAAATAAAGCAAATTAGCCTCCTTGACTTCTGAAGATGCGGGACCCGGGCCGTCCTTTAATCTAGGAATACAAAGTGTTAGAGAGAGAGAGAGAGAGCACATGTATAGTGGATGAATAAAAATGAATAGTGAATAAATAAAAACAACAGGTTGATTGCGGGGAATGGGGGCAGCACGATGACCAGCTCAGCCTTATTAAATTGGGCTGCTCAAATGGGAATCGCTTGCCCCGTTAATCCACTGGGCTTTAACAACGTAGGCACGTTTATTCGGAGGCTAAATTTCGTGAGATAGAATATAGGTTTTACTCTCAAGGTTTGAACAACCCATGAGTTGCATTTAATCAGGCTGGTACTCCACGAAGAAACAAAAGTTATTTGAAGACCACCCAGTGATATCCAATAGAGAATACCGAATCTAGGGGCCAAATTCTCCGATCTGCCTTTTTTCTCTGCCTTTCAAATTACAATCTTAAAAATACCTAGCGAAGAGTAAATCGAATTAATTATCCCCACTTGAACATGTACCGGGTTTTTCTGCCTATTTTTCTAATGAGGATACAGTGTCATTCAGTGCCAATCCCATTTTGTAGTGTTTATAGTGCACATAGGAAACTGCAGCCCCAGGCCCACACTCTGGAATAAGTTATCCTAAAATCTACCGGACAAAGTTTTCTATAAATTGTATTTTCCCTTTTCCTGGACATGTTTCATTTACACACCACGCCACTTTCTGGCACCAAGACTGCTATCCGATGCAATGAAAGACGCTCAGCTTCTCATTTAAAGCCAACGCGTCAGGAAACCTAGGAAGGAACGTATCCCGGCGTCCATTTGGACGCAATGGCATCTCTGGTCTGTAAACTCCTTTCCGGAAGCGGAAAGAATGGCAAGCTTTTCTCTAACGTTTATTTGATAGCACCTGCAGTCAGAGGAATTTGTAAGAACAGAATAAAAATCCGAGATGTCTCTTCCCCCTCCAATAGAAAAGCGTTTTAAAGGCTTCTATATCCTTCTTGCCAAGAAAAGGAAAACCGTCACCTTTGTTATCCTGCATCTGATCAAATGGACCAAAAAGTTTATGCTACAGTTAAGTGCCCTCACCTGTCTGTGTTTTGTGTTGCTACAGCTTCATTCTGGCAGTTAAAGCATAGAAGATTCCACCTTCAAACACATACACAGAACACCCCCAGTGAACAAGACAGGGCAGGGTCTACTTTGGATTATGTATTGTAGTGCATTACGGAACATATAAGCAAAAGGAATGGCGCTGAATCCCTCTCGGATTCCCCCTTTCTGTTGCGTGAAGGAACTGGGACACCAGCTGACAACTTTTGGGGCCTGGTAAAGAGGCTGAAAGAGGCTGCCATGTCCCTCTCCAAGCCCCCGTCATTGCCAAGCTACCCGCGATAAGAGAATCGTGTCTATAAACACCAACTACACGCAGTCGCTTCTTTCTCTGTTTCTTTATAAGGAATGGCGTCCCCCCGTCCCCCCAACCCCCCAACCCCGTCCCCCCGTCCCCCTAATACTCCAGGTGAAAGAAATTTTCAGAAGCCAAACAGGAACTTTCACTCTGGGCACCCCTTTCACAGAAGGAGCATGGAGTCGGGGATTTAGAAAAGGAAGGGAAAGGCAGGCAGGGGAGGGGAAATCATTCGGACCTTTCCATTGCAGACAATTATCAGGGTGTCCTCCTGAGACCAAAGGCATTAAACCCCACAGCCATTTCCGAACTGGCGCCACAAGACAGGGAAGCGAAGAGCACTTGGGGGCCTCGAACAAACCTGTCAAGAGGACATGAGAACTGCAGGGTGTGCAGCTGAGAAACATGGGGGCAGGGAGGAGAGCGAGCGAGAGCGAGGTCTTTCTGTCGGAGGGAGAGAACGTGCGTGTGTGATGTCGCCTGGACTGTGACTGCTTCTTCATTCGCCCAGGAAATTCTGCAATTTCGCTAGGGAAAATTGCTCGCCCGCTTCCTTGCAACACAGCCTTTGGACAGGACGGCCGGCAGGAGCGGATGGATGCTTTTGATCTTGCTGTGAAATGTTAAGGAGGAAGCTTTCCTTTCCTGTTCCTTGGCAATCGGAAGGGGGCAGGGGGCACCAGGCAATCCTATAATCTTGGAAGAAGGGAGCATCAAGAAAGTGCTAGGCACAGCAATAGGGAAAGAAAGAGAAGCTTCTGGGGGATTTATTGCAATCAAAGTCTAGGCTTCATGGAGCGGGAATTCTGTAAAAGCTTTTAATTCTTTGTTGCAGCGAGGATGCGATTTCACGTCCTCCAGTAACATGTCATTAGACTTCAAAGGGGGAGATGTGTGTGGCTTACTGCAGATGCCTCTTGGTGGGCAATTAGAGATGGAAGCGACCAAGCCTCAGGATTTGGAGACCGGGGGAGGGCAGTTCAAAGAGGGAGGGGAAGAAAATAAAACGCAGGCGGCGATCCAGAAATCACCTCAGCCAGAGTGAATAATCGGCTGCCAGTTGCAGCTTGGAAGCGCTCTGAGGACTGAGCCAAACAGCAGCGCTAGTCTTGTCCCGTCCCACCCAGCTGCGAATCCAGATGGGTCTCCCCGGGGAGCTCAAGAGAAGGGAAGCGGGGAGGGATCGGGTACCTTTGCCGTGCTGGAGGTGGTATTCCGCGTTGTCGGGGGCGCAGTCCGGGGTGCAGCTCACCTCGATTTCCTCATAGAAATCCGATTCGGTGTCAGAATTGCTTTGGTGGGCTTTGGTGGGGGGAAGGCGGTGGAGGGAGGTCTGCTGATTAGCAGAAAGAAGTGCTGCTGCTGCGGAGCGGTTCTCTGGGACGGTCCCTGGCGCTGGTCGGGCTTCTACTTCCTCCTCTTCTTCTTCTTCTTCTTCCTCTTCCTCCTCTTCCTCTTCTTCTCCTCCTGCACCTCTTCCCGCTCCTCCATTTTCCCGGGAGGACAAGGAGGCAGCTCTAGGGCTCAAGCAAATCCTGGGCATCATCTTGTCCTGCGGATCCGGGGCCCCCACGGCCTCTGCCATATTAGGCGCCCTCTTGCCAGCCAGAGGGCCAAGCTGAACTCCGTCCAGAAACAGCACCATCTCCTTTCTGGTTTCCATCGTGGGTGTCTTTTAAAGCAGCCCAACAGGGTTCTCCCTCTCGCGTTCTGGCGCTCTTCCCCCCCCCCCCCCCCCCCGAGCCTCCATCCACTCCGGGGAGGCTTGTCCCCCCTCCCGCCCGAGTTCTTCTTCTTCTACCGAGGCGGAGGGGAGCTGCCAACGGGGCGAGCCGGGGGATTACCTTGTGATGCGAACGCTCCAGTGTGCAGCGCCGGCTCTGGGAGGGGACTTACCATTGCCCTCTTCTTTCTAATGCTGTCATCCCTTAATGACGCATTCGTCATTACAGTTACCTCTGGTGACGCCACTGGCTTGATTGTCGGGGGATAAATAGGAGCGTCTGCCGGCCGGAAGATGAAAGGAAGAGCCGGAGCGAAGGCGGGTTTTTTTTGGGGGGGGGGGGGGCTGGGGGGGGGGGGGGGGGGGGGGGGTGTTTGTGGGGGGGGGGGAGGCTGGAGAGGAGTGGGGAAGCACCAGGTGTAACCAGTGCAACCGAGGGATGCGAGAGGCAGAGCAGGCAGGAGAGAGAAAAGGCTGTTACCATACTACTGCCTCTTCGAGGTCTTCACCTGAGAGACCAACCTCCTTTAGGTCCAGTTCTGTTGCGTACCGCCTTTTGATCCACCACACGGGAAATGTTTCAGTTGTGGCGCCTCTCCGGACGTGAAGAAGATATTATCCAAAGATCGCAGATTCCGAAGGAGTTCTCCCTTTCTAGCTGGTACAGGCCAAAGGTTTCCAAGATGCCCTTGAAAACTAGGTTCGGACCTTTCATTCATGATGGCCGAGGTGGCCTCTTGCGATTTGTTTGACCCCTCTCCCTCCTCCCTTTTCCTTCAAAGGCATCACTCGGTTTCAAGTCTTTGGCCCATCTGGTTGGAACTCCAGAATCAGGAGCAATCCTGGAAGGAGGACAGCTGGACTGATGTCCTGCCTCCGGTGCTGATGGTGGATAAGGATAGCTCTAGGTATATGCATTTTACATATGCAACAACATGTTTTTCTTACTTTGGGAGGGAAATCCACCAGAAGGTAGTTAGTTACACGTTTCGACCCTAGAAAGAAACAACAGTCGGCTATTAATTCGAAAGGAGAAGAGTCTAGGCAGATTTATACTGAATGCATAAAGTTTAGCAAACCAAGTTTTGTAGAAGTTTTTACCTTTCAAATGTACCCAGCTGCTTTAACATATATAATGATTTAAACCTTTGTTGTTTTGTTCTTTCTTTTCAGCGCCCCCCCCCAATCCTACGCGTTTAAGAACTATAGAATAAAACCTCACCCTTAATCCATCCTTTGTAAATCCTTTGGCTCTTATTTACGATTTAAAAAAAAACCATTGCGTTTAAACTTTCGTTCAATAACGTTTCTATTATGATAAACGATTTATAAGTGGTGGTTGGGGTTTTTTTTTTACTTGTATAGCGCACGCTATTTAAAACAAAAGCTACACAAGTTCCCGTCAGTCTAGTAATTTGAAGAAGCCAGGTTGGGACTGAGAATGGTGAATAGGAGTTCAGTAATCCTGTATGACATTAATGAAGCAAATGTGTTTCCAGCAGAAATATCGCTGCTCTGTGACTGACAAGTACAAAACAAGTTGTAGAAGCAGTTGAAGACCCTGC